GAAGGACCCCACTCACCCAGCACACACTTTTTGCCCCACTCCCCTCAGGAAGGAGGTTGAGGAGCATTAAGTGTAGAACCACTAGACTGAGGAACAGCTTCTACCCTGAGGCTGTTAGACTCATGAATCTCTAACCAGAATAATCACTGTGAAAAACCACATCATGTTGCTGCTGATCTGTTTCAATGTTGATGTGTTCATGCGTGCACATCCGCTCACACAGACTCATGTTCATTTTTTTGCTGATGTTTAATGTTTTTATGTTATGAGTGCTTAGTGTATATTTAGTTGATGTTTTTCTTAGTTCATATCTTAGATGTTATCACTGTTTTTCTTATACATTTTATTGTTGGATGTAACTGGGACCCTGTGTACATAATTTCGCTCCACCACATGAGGTGCGAATGACAATAAAGAATCTCTGACTCTGACTGATTTTTGGTTAAGGTTGACAATTGATGATTTATCAACCTTTAATCAATCATTCAGTTCTAGCCAATTAACCAGTGTTGAAAAGATGTCATTGAATCAATGTTGTTTTGTGGTTGAAATCCAATGATTGAAATGCTAATGTCTAATCCAGTGTTTAAAGCTGAAGAGAAGAAGATAAAAAAAATAGTAGTAATAATAAAAATTTCCCACTAGGGCAATCTGTATCTGTCATTTCCAGATAAACACGCTTGAGAGAGAGGTTAGATTTCTTTTGTTTTGTTCCTCAGGTCAACAGTTAGTTGAAAGTTTTTGAAGGTATGCTCACCCCCACCCTCCTGCTCCTCCTCCCCTCTTCCTCTTTGAGCTCTGTGTCAGAGCAAAATGTTTTCACTGTGTGGGGTTTATCACATTTTTAAATTAAGCACCATGTTGAGGACAGTGGGTTGTGATTTTTCTCTGTACATTTTATTACTTGCCTGTAAATAATATTACTGTTTGTGCCTAATGTGAATTCACAAAACTTCTACAAGTCACTACAAAGAGTGGAGAGCTCCACGTTCCACTTTATTTACACAAGTGGTATATCCCAAAAACAGAAGAACTTCCGGCCGCGTATTTAACTCACTTTGAAGCTGCCTCATTTGTAACTGGCTCTGAGCACTTCTGCAGTAAGTTTTTTTTATTACTTTTATCTTAACTCTGCTTATTGAAAAATAGCTACGTTGTTTTGTTCTTATGCTGCCTTGATAGGTAATAAATAGTAAGTAAATTGGTAAGGCCTGCTAACAAAGGAGCCTGCTAAAAGCCAAACCGAGCTCTGCCATGCTGCTGTAGATTTATTTATTTTTCAGTTTTGGTGCCTTGTTTTTGTATTTTGTTGCATGCCTTGAATAGATCCCAGTTTGTTAGTTTTGGGGTCGACTCTTTCCTTATTAATTTAACTGTGAGTGTGCAAGAAGTGGAACCATACGGTTTGTGTCCTCAGACCTATAACTAGTACATTATTTAATATTTCCATGTGTTTCGAAACTCACGTTCCATTTTTCCCTCATTCGTGAACAAGACCCCAAGATACACGAACTCCTCCACTTGGGGCAGGACCTCCTCCCTGACCCAGAGAGGGCACTCTACTCTTTTCCGGCTCAAGACCATGGCCTCGGATTTGGAGGAACTGACCTTCATCCTGGCTGTGTCGCACTCGGCTGCGAACTGCTCCAGCGAAAGCTGTAAATCACGATCTGATGAAGCCAATAGGACCACATCATCTGCAAAAAGCAGAGACGCAATCCTAAGGCCACCAAAACAGATCCCCTCAACACCTTGGCTGCGCATAGAAATTCTGTCCATAAAAGTTATGAACAGAATTGTGACAAAGGGCAACCTTGGCGGAGTCCAACTCTCCCCGGGAACAAGCCCGACTTACTGCCGGCAATGCGGACCAGGCTCAGACATCGGTCATACAGGGACCTAACAGCCCATATCAAAGGGCCCGGTACCCAAATTCCCAGAGTACCCTCCACAGGGTTCCTCGAGGGACGCGGTCGAACGCCTTCTCCAAGTACACAAAGCACATGTAGACCAATTGGACAAACTCCCACGCACCATCCAGGACCCTGCTGAGAGTGTAGAGCTGGTCCAGTGTTCCACGACCAGGACGAAAACCGCACTGTTCCTCTTGAATCTGAGGTTCGACTATCAGATGGACCCTCCTCTCCAGAACCCCCGAATAGACCTTACCAGGGAGGCTTAAGAGCGTGATTCCCCTGTAGTTGGAACACACTCTATGATCCCCCTTTTTGAATAGGGGGACCACCACCCCGGTTTGCCAATCCAGGGGAACTTCCCCCAATGTCCACACAATATTGCAGAGTCGCGTAAGCCAACACAATCCTACAACATCCAGAGCCTTAAGGAACTCCGGGCGAATCTCATCCACCCCTGGGGCCCTGCCACCAAGGAGCTTTTTAACCACCTCGGTGACCTCAGCACCAGAGATTGGAGGGCCCGACCCAGAGTTCCCAGGCTCCGCTTCCTCAGTGGAAGGTGTGCCGGTGGGATTGAGGAGGTCTTCAAAGTATTCTGCCCACTGACCCACGACATCCCGAGTTGAGGTCAGCAGCACACCACCCCTACTATAAACAGTGTTGTTGGTATACCACTCCCCCCCCCCCCCCCCCCCCCCCCCCCCCCTGGATGGTGGACCAGAATCGCTTCAAAGCTGTGCGGAAGTCATTCTCCATGGCTTCTCCAAACTCCTTCCATGCCTGAGTTTTTGCCCCAGCGGCCACCCGAGTCGCATGTCGCTTGGACTGCCGGTACCCATCGGCTGCTTCCGGGATCCCACGGGCCAAAATGGCCAGATAGGACTCCTTCTTCAGCCTGACAGCATCCCTCACCGACGGTGTCCACCACCAGGTTCGAGGGTTGCCGCCGCGACAGGCACCGACACAACCTTGCGGCCACAGCTCCGGTAAGCCGCCTCGACAATAGAGACACGGAACATGGCCAACTCGGACTCAATATCCCCTACCTCCCCCGGAACATGTTCGAAGTTCTCCCGGAGGTGGGAGTTAAAGCTCCGTCTCACAGGAGACTCTGCCAGACATTCCCAGCAAACCCTCACAATACGTTTGGGTCTGCCAGGTCTGACCGGCATCCTCCCCCACCATCGGAGCCAACTCACTACCAGGTAGTGATCAGTGGACAGCTCTGCCCCTCTCTTCACTTGAGTGTCCAAGACATGTGGCCGCAGATCAGATGAGATGACGACAAAGTCGATCATTGAACTGTGGCCTACGGTGTCCTGGTGCCAAGAGCACATATGGACACCCTTATGCTTGAACATGGTGTTTGTTATGGACAGTCCATAACGAGCACAGTAGTCCAACAACAGAACACCACTCAGGTTCAGATCAGGGGGACCATTCCTCCCAACCACACCCCTCCAGGTCTCACTGTCATTGCCCATGTGAGCATTGAAGTCCCCCAGCAGAACAAGGGAGTCCCCAGGAGGTGCACTTTCCAGTACCCCCTCCAAGGACTCCAAAAAGGGTGAATAATCTGAACTGCCGTTTGGTGCATAAGCACAAACGACAGTCAGAACCCATCCCCCCACACGTAGGCGAAGGGAGGCTACCCTCTCATTCACTGGGGTGAACCCCAACACACAGGCACCAAGATGGGGGGCAATAAGTATACCCTCTCCTGCTGGGCGCCTCTCACCAGGGGCAACTCCAGAGTGGAATAGTGTCCAATTCCTCTCAAGGAAACTGGTTCCAGAGCCATGCGTAGAGGTGAGTCTGACTATTTCTAGCTGGAACCTCTCAGCCTCACACACGAGCTCATGCTCCTTCCCCACCAGTGAGGTAACATTCCATGTCCCAATAGCCAGCTTCGATAGGCGGATAGGTGCAGCGTCTGCAGTGAAGCGGGCGCTGTACAGGTCTGTCGTGGTGAAGAGAGAGCTGAATCAAAAGGCGAAGCTCTCAATTTACCGATCGATCTATGTTCCTACCCTCATCTATGGTCATGAGCTTTAGGTTGTTACTGAAAGAACGAGGTCTCGGATACAAGCGACCGAAATTAGTTTTCTCCGCAGGTTGTTTGGGCTCTCCCTTAGAGATAGGGTGAGAAGCTCGATCATCCAGGAGGGACTCAGAGTAGAGCCGCTGCTTCTCCACATCGAGAGGAGCCCCTTGAGGTGGCTCAGGCATCTGGTTAGGATGCCTCCTGGACGCCACCCTGGTGAGGTGTTCCGGACACGTCCCACCGGGAGGAGACCCAGAGGAAGACCCAGGACACGCTGGAGGGTCCGTTTCTCGGCTGGCCTGGGAACGCTTCGGGATTCCCCCGGAGGAGCTGGCCCAAGTGGCTGGGGAGAGGGAAGTCTGGGTCTCCCTACTTAGGCTGCTACCCCCGTGACCCGACCCCGGATAAGCGGAAGAAAATGGATGGATGGATGGATGGATGGATGGATGGGTGTTTCAAAACTTTTCAAATGTTTCTTCTTTCTAACCGCTAAAAGAACAGACCAGTCGCGTGCTTAATGACATGCTAGTCAGCCAATCAAAATCATGCATATTGGATGACTCATACGACAACAGGAAGAATTGTGGCTCTTAGCTGTGCATGTACATAATACTTAGAAGCCTCATTCTGAACATTTTAAATGTGGCAGAACTGCAGGTGAACTAATGGAAGGAAATGGACTGAACTTAATAAAGAGCCATTCTACAGTTTAACTTAATTCCTGTTATTCACACACACTAATATATTTGGAAATCAAACAAGCACCAAAGTCAGCATTTGTAACTTAACGTGATTATATTAAAAATGTTTACTCCTTAAATGTTTAGACTAAAGGTAAACACTTAGCCAAAAAACTTAGCCAATTTTGAGTGTTTACAACTGCTAACATGTGTAACACTATTACTGTAGTGATACATTTATATTAAAAAAAAATCATATTTTATGGCATATTAGTTAATTTGACTGACAATTCAGATTATTTTTCTTGTTGTGTTTGTACTCCTAAACTGTAGTGATATGCAACTAATTTTTTTCTATAGGGATGTCGTGATATAGCTCAGGGCAGTATAACAGTCCCCTGGTCTCCAACAACGTGCACAAAATGGTATGCCATTGGATTCTTCACTAAGGAACCCAGTTTACTACATCGATCTAAAGTGAGATATTTGTAGACAAATTAAATCACTGTCATGTTTTGTGTAAATGTTACAGCTTTTGTTTCCCCCTCTAGACTTCCTTAGAGGAAACTACCACCAGTTTGATCCAATGCAGTCAACTATAGTGAAATATAACTATTTTGTTTCTACAGGGATGTCGGGATACAGCTCAGGACACTACAACACCCCACCTGGTTGCAATGATAAGTGAACAAGCTGTCATCTAACCTTTGTAGACATTTTCTGATGTGTATGTGTGAAAGGCTGGATCTATTCAGATGATCATGGCTCACTACTTTGTTCACTCCACCTCTTTGATTGAATATTGAGTACTTTATTAACAGTTTGTTAATGCTTAAAAGCCAAACATAACACAAAGTCCTCAGAGACTTGTTACCATTATGGTCCTGTGTATTCCTTTAATTTGAGTTCTCTCTTGATTGGATACAGAAAATTCCCTTTCTATTAAAGAGCTGTATAAACACAAACGTTTCTAACCAAAATAAAATCACTGTCACTTAAATACACGTGCACCTAACCTTTCAAAAATGTATGCAACAATTAAGTTGTATGAATGTTTGTGTTTTACAGATGGAACCACACAGATGGCCGACGATGACGGGCAGCATTTGAAAGGCAAGTCTATTGGACATAATGTATTCCTCATGTGTCATTTGTAGCTTATTTTTTATTTCTCACTTAATGATTTTAACTTTTCTTCTGAAGACCTTGCCATCCACAAGATGACTTCAGTGCTCGCTGAAGTACTTTTGGTGGTGAAGGATCTGTCCAGAGATGTAAAGTTCATGAAGATCAAGTTGGCTGAGGGAAGCGTGACACCAGGTGATACCCAGGGACCAGCCACTGCAACCCCTGTGCTCCCCTTCCAGTTGCCAATCGCCAGTGAACAAGACTTCAATGAGGCAGAGTGATCACTGATGGAAGAATCAGTCCATCAAAAGATGGTATTTTATTTGACAGACTGAACTGCATTCATTTATCAAATGTAGATCATTTCAGTTTGGTCTTGCTCGTTTTTTTGTCTGGGAAAAAATGTGTTTAGCTCTTTAGCTACTTGAGCACAAATTTTAGTTTACAAGTTCAAAATGTGTCAGAGCTTGTAGATCTGCTATTTATGAAACATTTTGAAATTATGGGAATTTGTGTGGGAGAGATTGTGCCCTCAAAAAATAGGGAGGTGGAGAGGGTAATATTATATCAGATATCTACTCTATCTTCCTCACTCTTACTTTTGTGTCTTTCAGCTGCTGCTTGGCAGTTTGACCCAAAGCTGACTGACAAGGACTACAATGAGCTGTCAAGAACTGGCTTCATTATGTGCCAGAGCAGGAGGGAGGCATCCCAAGGAACCAGAGACCCAAACAAGCGAACCAGAGTCAAGCTTAGGTTACCCCAACACTCTTTCCTTAGTTCGTACAGTACAAGGCTTAACCTCATGGACACTGTTCTTCCATGGACAATAGACTTTTGTTCTGTCAGTCAAAAAGGAGACAAATATGTTTACAGATACATGCATCTACTTGAATAACTTGCCACTTCAGCCTGTTCTTGCATTGTTGTCTCCAGAGTTGCCCTATAGCTCTTTAAAATTACAGACGCTGTTTTGAATATAATATACTGGGCCTCCCTCTGTTTTGTGTTGCTGCACGTACTGCACTGAGCTGTAGCTGGATATCCTGTATATGTCCTCTGCATTTACGGTACCCATCCATAGAATGGTTACAGCATTCATAGAGCAAATTTAGGTTTATAAGTGGTACAGCAGTGGTTCTCATTCTCAAATGTGTTCATGTTGACATCCAAATTGACCGCTATTGGTCTGTGGACCCAATTTTATTTTATTTTTTTGTTGTTTAAATCAGTTTGAACATTTGAGTGTAGTGCATCTAGTGAGGGCGCTTACAAGTATAGGATTGTATCATCTACATACATATGGTAAGATGAGAATTTAAGCTGATCACAGATTTAATTAATATAGAGTAAAAAGAGCAAGGGCCCTAAAATAGACCCTTGTGGGACCCCCTTGTTCAGTGTGACTGCATCTAACAAAATGGAGCCAAATCGAACAAACTGAATGCATTTAGTTAAGTAGTTGTTAAACCAACTAACCATGTTTGTATTAAAGCCAAGTTTTTGCATGATATTGATTAGATGACAGTGGTCCACAGTGTCAAATGCCTTAGTTAGATCAATAAACAATGCTAAACAAGCATGTTTAATTTCAAGTGCTGTTTTAACATCATCTATCACTTTTAAGATTGTTGTGATTGTACTGTGTCCTGCCCTGAACCCAGACTGGAAATTGTTAAAAAATATTGTTGGATTGAAGTAAGTGTTTGAACTGGACAGACACCAACTGTCTTGACCTATGACTGTTTTCCTAAATAAAATTTAATATTAATGCCATGTTGTCATTTTTAAAAGTTTGTGTTCACACATTTTTGGAAATATGGTAATGTAAGATAATTTTGAACAACATAATACCCATCATCTGCCAACAATATTGTGTGTTTAACACCAGTACTAAATGAAGAAACTTGTAATGGTATATTATGATGAAGACCTATCAGCAGAAATGACAACTAAACTTTTCTAATGAGCTTAACATAGTAAATGCTTTAAAAAAGTTGAATATTTTAATGTCAAATGTACATGAATCAATATGGATTCCTCAACTTTGATTCAATATTCATTCAACCTTTATTTAAAAAGATAAATCACATTGAGCCTCGAAGACTCATTTACAAGTGAGATCTGTTTGGACAAACAAAAACAGTGATTAGAAAAGGAAAGAAAACATGAGGAGAGACAGTATAAAAAAAAAAGATCTCTCACGCCGTGTCCTAGACAGGGCATGATTTGATGCATCAAAAAAACCTACCACAGCAAAGCAACATAAACAGACGTTATACATGTACATGTAGGTGGTGAAAACATTGAATTTTTAAGGGAAAGTCGTAGCATAGTCCAGAGACCCCCCTCTCAGCCATTGTCCAGATATGACATTCATCTTCAGCTCAGTTGAGGTTCTGTCACATGTCCACGGCCTACCATACCATACCACTTTATTTATAGAGCACTTAAAACAGCGACAAGGTCAACCAAAGTGCTGTACAGAAAGAACAACAGGTAACACACAAAGCAAAATACAAAATGAGGTAAATCAGAATATAGACATAAAAATGATGCAGATAATGACGACTAACCAGTGTGGAGCATACAGGATCAAAACACAGATCCTCTGGTGTTGAAAGCTACTGAATAGTAGTGAGTTTTTAAACGGGACTTGAAAACCGAGAGGGAGGGGGCCTGTCTGACAAGCAGAGGTAACTCGTTCCAGTGTCTTGGTCCTGCTACAGAGAAGGCCCTGTCACCTCTGCGCTTGGGGAAGAGAGGTGTGAGGAGACAGTCAAAGCATCTTTGTCGTTTTCAAAACATTCCGAGAGGAGTTGAGATAAGTCCGGCGTCAAGGCCACAGTTTGGGTCAGGCAGAACTCGTGAATTGTTGTTTCTGCCTTTTTTAAAGTCTCGCTGGTATATATTCCTCTGATGGAAACTCCAAAACAGCCAAATTGATCCTTTACGCCAAACGTTGAGCTCACAACTTCTCCAAGATTATTCCCACCATTCATGAGTGCTGCCAGTGAGTTCACAGTCCTGATAACAGCTGCTCCAGCTCCCTGCTGCAGCTCCCCAAATTCAATCTGAGCACTGTCGAGCTTCGACACATCCACACTAATTTGTAGACAATCCAAGATTTCACCAACCCAAACAGTAGAATCTAGTTGTCATCATGAATCCAATTTGTTTCCGTCGAGGTAAGAGGGTCCTTTTTATCCTGACTCCTGTCGGGAGAAGTTGCTTGATTTTGTTGAGAGACCAGCTGAACCTTCAAATTAAGAGGTATGCAGAAAAATAAGAGGCTTTTTAAGGGTTCACAGGACGAAAGAATGCAGTCAGGCAAGCGAGGGAGGTATGGAGCGCCGAGAAACATGTCTGTCTTCACCGGAGTACACAGAGAAAAAAACCGAATAAATATGGATTCCTTAACTTTGATTCAATATAAAATCAACACAAATGTAAATGTGTATTAGCATTTAGATGATGGTTGAATCAACATTGATATAGTATCAGTTATGGTTGAAAACCTAACGTTGATTCAACGTGTAAGTCACCGACCACTTTCTGCATAATTTCAATGTCAGGCTTCAACATTGATTCAATATTTCTGCCTAACCATATTTCAATGTTGATTCAATTGTATTTTGCTGACTGGGGGATTTATGTACCCGTCTCTGAATATATGACCAGAGCTCGTCAGAAATATTCTCCCCAATATCTTGTTCCCAAAGTTTCCTAATCGAATTTAAAGAGCTCGGACGGAACGAGGCGATTAAATTATAAAGAGTAGAAATAGATCCCTTTAGCCCAGGGGTGGACAAAAATAAGGAGTCCATGTCAGAGGCCTCAGGCAAATGGGGAAAAGTGGAGAAGTTACTAGGGGCAAAACTGCGAATCTGTAGATATCTAAAAAAGTGGTGTCATGGAAGAGTAATAAATCTGTCTGATAGTTGTACAAAGGAGACAAAAATATGATTTGCTGCAATAGGTGCATGAGGAGATAAAAGTTGTAGGCCAAAATGGTGCTGGAATTGGGTCCAGATTTTAAGGGAAATTTTGACTATTTTGTTTTTTGTATAAGCAGCGGTGGAGGATTGGATTGGTGAATACACCAGAGACCTAAGGGAAACAGGTTTAACAGAATTTGTCTCCATAGCTAACCAGTCATGGAGGGGGGAGGTCCCACAGTCACGCCAGTATTTAAAGAATCTAATATTGGAGGCCCAGTAGTAGTACCTAAGATTGGGTAAAGCCATACCTCCAAGTGATTTAGGCCCCTGCAAGTATTGCCTAGCCAACCTCGGAGTTCTCCCCTCCCAAAGAAAATTAGAGATGAGAGCATAGATATCATATAAAAGCTAAATCCAGCATTGACCACTATCGCCTATTGTCGCTGACGAGCCGTAGGGCCGCCATCTTGGAATGGTCACCCGCTCTACTCAGTGTAACCTGTTTGACAGGAGCAATGAAGTATGTGCACGTTTAATCAGTCAGCTGAATACTAAACTCATTCTCACGATTTTTTCCCTGTAAATCTTAGACATACAGCCAGTAAAGCTGAACACATGGTTCAGTGTTTTTAAAT